GGGGAACGTGCCCCCCCCCCCCAGGCGGGTCTGGTAATGTCAGGGCGCCTTTGGTCGTCACACTGGGAAGAGGCGTCACTGGCATGTAGTCGGCTGAGGTCAGGGGTGCCGCTGAACTTGCCCCAGTGCCCAGGACGGCCCCCCAAGGAGGAACTAGCTGGCCCCAGATGCCAACAGGGCCAAGGCTGTGGGGCTCTGGCCTGTAGCCATCTACCATCCAGAACTCCCAGAGGGCCCAGAGAACCTTGGACACTGTTTAAATGTAGCCAGAGCCACTCCCAAGAGAGGTCCACCACGAGCCCCAAAGGCAAAAGGCACCACCAAGAGTGATAAGGGAGCCATTACCATTGCCAGGCTCCTGAGCCGGGGTCCTCCAGGGGAAGAAATCTGCTGGACACTCAGGCTACATGGGGCCCCCTGAAGGCGACTGAGTGCACTCGTGTCCGCCCGCATGTGCCCACTTTTCTGGAAGAGGGCCAGTAACTGGCAGCAGATTCCCAAAGAGACCCACGCCCCCGGATGACAGAGGTGACAGAATTGCTCAGATGCGGAGCCTCCCCGCAAAGCCCAGAAGCACTGATTACGCCTCTGAAGCCAGCTGCGACCTGCCTATGCTCCGCTCTGGGGCCAGGGATGATCTCCGGTCGCTTCTGTTTGGTTGGGCCAGCGGATCAGTCATCCCTGGCGAAGCATCCGGGCGCTGCGCTGGGGTCCCGCAGGCCTGCGCTCCCTCCCTCACCACGGCCCAGGATCCGGTTCCGCCCTTCCACAACTCAGCCCGTCCTGCTCCTCCCCCATACTCACTCCCATACCCCCATGCCCACAGAACAAGGGAGAGCTCAGGGTCAGCCACCTGCGGTGCGTTTGCAAACACAGAAGCCTGGGCTCACCTTGACCAAGGGATCCAAATCTCCCAGGGAGAACGCAGCAGGGAGCCTGCATTCCTGGAGCCTCAGAGAAACCCACGGGTGACGATGACCCCCAGGGGAATGACAAACACCTCTGCTTATGGGTACGGCTCGGGCTCGCTCGGGGGCAAGGGCTCATGCTTGGGCTGCCATGCTCCATCACCCAAGAGCCATGAGATCTTGGACAAGTCCCTTCTCTTGGGGCCTCTACAGAGGCAGGAGAGCAGCACAGCCGTGTGTGGAAGGAAAAACAAACACGTGGGCCAGGCCTGGCATGGGGCGAGCTCTCACTGGGCACTGGCGGTAAATAGCGAGCCTCTCCATGCTTGGGTACTTCTTATTCTCAAGGGAAGGAAGACTATTTTAGATATCTGCTACCGCCTCAGGACACCCTACGTGACCAGGCCCCGGAAGTCACGACAGATGGTGTCTCTCTCATCTGAGCCGACCCTACACTGCCAGGCAGATAACCTTGAAAAATGAAGACTTATGCCCTTCCTAGAATTTTTTGTGGATGTAGGCGGTAGCGTCCGGGGGTCTCAGGGCCTCGGAGAAGTACTCTCACTCCCGCTTCACTAGTCCTCGTGCAAAATAAATGGTGGTGTAGGTGATAAAGGTGCCCTCAATTTCCTCGGGGGGAGAATGCCAACAACACACAACCTCGAAGGGATTCGATCACACATACAGTAGATGCAAAATCACCCGGTATATATTTCTGAGACACGTTCGGCACTCAATCGATGTTTGTTTTAAGAAAATAGGTTAATTTTCGAGCAAATAAGAGAGATGTCACTCAACCCCTCCACGGGCCTGCAGGGAAGACAGAAACCACTGGTGACGCGGGGAGGGAGTTCGGGTCTGTACCTTGAAAATGGAGGCATCCACTTCCTGATTATAATCTTGTTTGCCAGCGTGTTTCCAAGGGATCCGGAACATGCTCTTCTCATCGTTTTCCCAGATCAGCCCCGGGTACATGTTGCTGTCGATTTGCTCGATCAGCCACTGCCGAAGCCGCCGGCCACCGTTCCGGTCACACATCCTTGGAAAGGAAATAAACCACATTCTGTGATATTACAAATATCGACCCGTTAATCGCAGCGCCCCATGTACTGGCACACCAAACAGCACTGACAGGAAGATCAGAGGGTTGCCACACAGGTGCCAGCCTCGGGGAAACCCACAGACCTGGGACGCCGGGCCACCTGCCGAGGGGAGGCCATGCCTCCCCTGGGCCTCAAACCCCCGAAGGAAAAGTGGAAGCTCCCCGGGAAACCTGCAGCTTCCCAGCAGCCAGACGTCAGCCCCTCCTAGGGTTCTGCCTGGTACCCCTTCCAGCTTCCGCCCCTCGCTCTGGTTTGGGCAGACAGCCCCATCTAAGGACACCTTTCCACTTACAGTACGAGATGGGGAGTAATCACTTTTACACTGTCAGGTCCCTTTAGTGAGCAGCTCGTCCCTCCGAGAGCAAGCTCCATTACTCGATGCCCAGTCTGACCAGTGTTCGTGAGTAAATGTGACATCTGTGTGTGCCAAGAAAGAAGAGATCCTCGAGGCTATCCCTCTGAGATGGTTCCTTCACAGCTGGGCTAACGATAAGACCAAGAGTCTGGAAATGAGACAGAGCTGGGGGCCCGCTTGAGTCCCGCCATCTCCCAGCTGAGTGACCCTGAACCATCATTTAACCTTGGGTGCCAGGTACCCAGGCTGAAGCCCCAGGACAAGTATCAGTACTTTGCGTCATTGTGGTGAGGGCTCAGAGGATGTGTATAAAGCACCTGAGGCCATGCCTGGACCTTAGAAGGTTCTCTCTAAATACCAGATGTCATTTCTTCCAACTTTCTTCCTCGGGAAGTCTTACGACCAGCGGGGACAAAAGCAAGGAAACCGACTCTGACCACTGGACAGACCAAGTTAGCCGGGCTAGACTCTTCCAGAAGGCACCAGAATTTGGGGATCTCACCAGGATGCCCAGAGACATCCTTTGGAGGAACATTCTTGCCAGAACAGGCAGCTTTCCCAACAGCCCAGAGAAAAAGAGAGAAGAGTCATGCCACATCAACTCATAGCCCACATTTACAAGAACAGGGGTGGAAATCCCCTAGGCGGTTGGACAGACGCCCACCAAAAAAAAAAAAAAAGC